CTATATATCTATATATCTATATATCTATATATCTATATATCTATATATCTATATATCTATATATCTATATATCTATATATCTATATATCTATATATCTATATATCTATATATCTATATATCTATATATCTATATATCTATATATCTATATATCTATATATCTATATATCTATATATCTATATATCTATATATCTATATATCTATATATCTATATATCTATATATCTATATATCTATATATCTATATATCTATATATCTATATATCTATATATCTATATATCTATATATCTATATATCTATATATCTATATATCTATATATCTATATATCTATATATCTATATATCTATATATCTATATATCTATATATCTATATATCTATATATCTATATATCTATATATCTATATATCTATATATCTATATATCTATATATCTATATATCTATATATCTATATATCTATATATCTATATATCTATATATCTATATATCTATATATCTATATATCTATATATCTATATATCTATATACTCTATATATCTATATATCTATATATCTATATATCTATATATCTATATATCTATATATCTATATATCTATATCTATATCATCTGTATCTATATCTATATCTATCTATCATCTTATTTCAAAGACAGGAAAAGTGGTGGCAGTTAATTGGAAATTGTAGGATCTGGGTATGATATAGATGGTATAGAATAAGGGTTGGATATTGTTCTGGGTTGGGCCGAGATAAGTTAATTTTCACAAGAAGCTGGGAGGGTACACAGCCAGGGTAGTTGACCCAAACTAGCCAAGAGGAAATTGGATACCATATGATGTCATGCTCAGTATATAACCGGGACAGCTGGCCAAGGGAAGGAGGGACTGTGGATCTGGAACAGGCTGTGCATTGGGTTCCAGGTGTTGAACAATTGGATTTTGCAACATTTGCTTAGTATGCTCTTTTATTAGTGTTATTGTTATCATTATTTCCTCTCTTATTTTGTTGTCCTATTAAACTGTCCTTATCCCAGACCACAAGATTTTTTTACCTTTTCCTTATAATTCTCCTTCCTATTCCCACCCAGGGCAGGGAGGAGTGAGTGAGAGACCACATGGTGTTTTGTTATCAGCTGAGACTAAACCATGCCAGTGTAGAACAGCAGGATGCAGCAGCAATTGTTACCCTGGTACAGCAGTTCTACTACCACCTTTTGCTAAACATTCCTTTTTTATCAATGATGTGGTCTAAATGGGAGTATGGGTAATCTTTTAATGATCTTTTTTCTCACACTGAGGCCCTAAAATAGCAGTATTATTTAATATTTCATATTGCAAAAAGCTATGCATGTCACAAACACACTGGAACATGCCTATCTGTATCTTAATTTGATAGGTTTTGGGCAGTGTTAGAATAAATGCTCTGGTAATAACTTGTTACAGTACGTGATGGAATGTGATTATTTCATCATTCCTAGACCAGCAGGTCACCTGAGTCTCTGCACCATTTAAAGGCTCTTCTATCAGTAACAGCTGCCCACTTGACACTTCAGATAATCATCCCATTGCCTCAGAAGCCAAGTACAAGCTGCTGATAAACTGTCTGAGTAGCTTTGCCCTCCAAACCCTATTATACTTTGTCTTATGTAAGAGTCTGCTGTAACACATTAACCTTTCATTAGAGATAAAGTTTTTATGATTATTAAACATCTAGTAGATGTTCTTCAAGTGGTATGAAGAGGGACACCAGTTTTTATCTGATGTCTAAATTGGTTAGAGTTTTTTGGGGGTGCATGAGGGTTTTGGCTGCCTTAAATTTTGGCTGCTCCACTCAGAGAAACAAGCTGTGGTCAGACAGGTACACAGAACATGGAGGTAGTTCTGCAAATGTCAGTCTGGTATGCCTATGGAACATTTTGCAAGTCAAGAACATTTGACTTGATAAAAGTTCCGAGGAATGTCAGTGACAGTGAATATTTCACATGGTATTGCTGTGATCTTTGTTAAGACAGATTCTTGATGTGAGACTTTTGAAGATGGTGCTGTCTGGCATTATTAGCCAGTATACCTTGTGCTATGGTGTGTGAAAGCATCCTTTTGTTGAGCGTGGCTTTACAACATCCGTATATAGTTTAGAGTTCACATATACTGTGTAATGCCTTCTTTTTTCCTAATTGAAAGATTTTACTTAGGAGCTTGGTTTGGCTTTCTAAGTAAATCTTTAGCTTTGTTTTATTTGTAGCAAAAAAAATCATTATTGCTCTAGAAAACATTTTTTGTTGTTGGTTTTGAGTGATTTTCTGCTTTCTTTTTAGATGTACCTATAACAGAAATTTGAATTACACTACAATTGGACTCAATTCTGGGAAACTTGTTCTTGATTCCTTCACTCACATACCTCAGGGTTTAGAAACTAGCAGGACAATTAGATTTTCTCTGTAAATGAAAACCACACTTTCTTAGAGTCACTCCACCAGTTTTACCTGGGTGAAAAGTGAAAAGCAAAGAGGTTCTTTATCATCTTTATTTTAATTTCAGATAGCCAGGTATAATTCCAGAGAAATTAAAGTAAAGTCAAGGGGGCATCTTTTTGGCTATTAATGGCAGGTTATTTTAACGTGTATTTCCACTGATATGAAAGTAAAAGCAACAACACCACTTCCATAGGTTGAAAATTATTCATTTGGAAGACTTGAATCAGTGTAAGTATCATTTATGGACTGAAAATTTATGTTATGAAACTTTCTGTAGTACATTTCCTATGAAGGAGTACTAAAATGTGCATAACACTGGTGCAAGGCAGAGTCCCTTATTAAATCTTCAACTAAGATGGTTGAGGAGAGACTGTTTTTGTATGGGCTGTGAAGTCCTACCTGCCCTTCGAAGTATAGTTGCTTGCTTTTTTTCAGAGTCAAGCTGATAAAACATCATTTAAATAAAGGTTAAAATATATCTTAGGTAAAGTGACTTATGTGTTTCGTAGGTCTGAAACTCAACTGTCAGAAATATGTGTATGTGTTTATGAAGGTTTTTTTTTTTTACAGGATTCATCATTTATGGGAATTTGTGTGTTAACAAATTAATTTATAGAGAATGTTCACAAGAAGAAGTAATAGTAAATAAAATTAACAGCACTGTAAAAGAAGTCTCCTACATTTATAATCAAACTGTAAATCACATGGCTATGAATGGCTAATCTGTAAGACAGCCAATCACTCATGAAACACAGCATCTACATACAACAGAGTTAAAACAGTTTAAACTGTTTGAGCTACTGTGCCAGAACATGATTAAAGGAGGTTCAAAGTGTGAATGACAAGTAGTTTTTTCCTCAACAGATCTTTCCAGTGCAAGGGAGAAGAAATTTTACTTCTAACTAAATGTTATTATATGCTCAACTTTTATTCACTGCCACAAAATTAAAATAGAAATAGCCAGTACTACAACCTTCTGTCTTTTACTCTGAAGTGGAGGCTGAACGTGCTTTGGGAAAGGTGTTTAATTAGTATGTCTTCATATGCTCTGGTTTTAGTCCTTTCCTGGTCTGAACATTTTGAATTATTGTAATCTCAGACAACCTCCACTGAGGTAGAAAAAGGAGCTTGAACAAATATCTAATGGAAGGACTTTCTCTTCTATACACTTTGTAACTGTATATGTACTTTGGACTCTTGACAGAGAAATTTTTGGAGTCAGAAGTGGCTCTTGATGTTTTGAACAAAAGTGTTATTTTTAGTAACCTTTATCTAAAGTAAACAAGCAACAGAAGAAAATTTTGTCTGAAACTTCAGGAGACATTTTTTACCCCTTTTCGGTCTTTCTATTTAATATGTGTTCTGAGCTAGCCATTGTCTTCAAAATTCAGTATTTTATATATAGAGAAAATACTTGTGCATACAATGAGATTCTCTGAAAATCTTTTAAATTTTTGTGAGAATTATTTTCATACATTCAGTAAAGCTGTTAACTGAACATATTTTGAGAAAAATGACAAAATAATTTTTAGTCTAAATGATGCATAATTAAAAAAAAAAAAAATGGCAATAAAAAGAAGCCAACATTATGGTTTTTTTCTTATTGAAAAAATATTCTATTCAGCAAGATAGAATAATGTTTGAATATTTCTCAATTTTATTTCCAAAATGTTTGTTGAAAGAACAAAATCTATAATAAGAATGATTGGGTTTTTATATCTTTAAAAATGTTTCCATTCTAAAAGGCAGAGATAGGGCTAATTTTATCACTTTCAATAAATGTGAGGATTAAGCCAATTTTCATGTTGAACGTGAACATGTTTCTGAAAAACCCTCTAAGTCACTTCAGAGACTTTTGAAGACCATTGTAAACAATGGAAAAATTATCTTTGACTTCAACTGGACTCAGTCCCTTGGGTCATATCATGACCATGAGCTATTTTATCTTTGTTAGGCCACTAATTAGTCTCCTACTCCTCTTGCCCTTCCCTGGGACGTGTCAGGCTAAGCATATAATATTTTCCAGTATTATAGAATTATTATAGTACAGTATATGAGTTCAAAGCCTGTTTATGGTACTTTTTTTATTCATAAAAAAACCCTTCATGTTCTAAAATGTTTTAAATTATGCTTTTAGAATGCAACATTAGGATGACTATCCTTTTACATGTTCATTGTATGATGGTTTTCCTTTCAGCTGAAGTATGTGTAATACAGAAGTGCTAGTAATACCAAAACCAGACAAAGAAAAAAAATAACAGGTTAATAAATTAAGATTAGAGTAAAACAAAACAGAGCCAGGATAATTCTGATGTTTTATAAATCAGACAGGATCAGATTATCTTCCAATAAAGTATACCATAATATACAGAATTCAAGGTCATGGAGGGAAGAAGAAGAAAGCATTATGCAAATTCACAGAATTTAACAAAAAGTAATGTATATCTATGTACATCTAAGTGCATTTAATAATCAAGATATGAAGATAAAATCTTACTTTGGCCAAAATACAAGAATATAAATGCTTACTTGGATTGTATAGTAGCTTCCTCTTCTGTCAAAGTATGGATTTCTTGAGTGATTACTGAATACTGTCAGTTTTACGTCTGGGTTCCCCTTTTCAAGAGGACTTCAACTGCCAGGAATAACTGATTAAATCTTTTCACCCATCACTCATTTTTATTTGGGAGTGATGACATCTACTATTATGAATTAGTTTAATGTCAGGGGGGGAAAAACTCAAACTCACAGTCTCATTTTGTGAAGTCTGCAACACACCAAGCAGAATGACCGGAAAGTTAAGGGCACAACTCTGAATACCACATCTGATCTGTGCTATAATTTTTTTGGCAGATGCCACTGATGTCATAACTTGGCTCTGGAGAAAGTTATTCTTTGACAAGTGCAGATCACTGGAACATAACTTCCATATGACTTGCAGGAATTCAGTACTGTCCCCTCCAAGAAAATGGATAGGTCTGAAGAGAACATGTTGAATAGCACAGCTTGTCTCAGGATTGTGCTACTGAGTGACTGACAGATAAATAGATTTCTTTTTCATCCCTTTTGAAGTGTTGGTCTGTAAGAGCACCTGGTAGGCTGCATGACAGGATTCCAGCTAAGCTGTTAATATGCTGAATAGCATAGGAATCTGAAGTCAGCCAGCTGTGAGCTGGAATCATGGCATAGATAATTTATTACAGAATCTAGCACTTCCACTTCTTAGACAGATTCTTCTTTCCTCCACTGGTACCACTGGGTGAACAGAAAAATACAGGGAAGTAAGGTGCTTCTTACACTGGCAAAGGGAGACAAGACAGAGGGACCTCCTGCTCCTCAGCTATTATTGGCAACCCAACTGCTAACACCTCTGATAATTTGGCAAGTTCCATCTTGAAATGAGTTACATTTCTTGCTCCAGGTATTTCCAGTGAAAGGTTGTTCCAGAATGTTTCTGCACAAAGTACCATAAGTTTTCTTCTAATTTACAACCTGAATTTATTCAAGGAACAAGTTACCCTTCCCTTGTTTCCATAGCATCTATGCAGAAATCATCTCCCCTCTCCTTCCTTGTTGTGAAGATAAATCACTCAAGGACTTTGGACTCTTCTCATTCTCTTGATAGGTCTCATGGCTTTTCTCTGCAGTCTCACTGAGCACAGGCAATGAGAACTGTATGTCATATTCTTATACACTCTTTATTTTGTTTGGATATAACTATCTAAATCTAGAATCACATTTGTGTATTCCAGAGATGGACCATGCTCATAAACACACTCTAATCAATTAATGCACCCTCCTGATTCTTGTCTTATTTTTTTCCAGCTGATAAGCTCCAGCTTATAACAGAAATTTTAATTAGATTCTAAATTCATGACCTGTCTTTTGTGCTGCTTTCTCTGTTTCAGTCCTTCAGGTCATCTGTTTCATTTGTCTTTGAAATTCAGTCCCCTGTGCTGATGACAACCTTTGCATCCTCCAGAAAATTTCTTTAAGTCTCTGCTTTGCTTTGTGCCAAATGTCATGGCTCAAAACAGTAGCTAAGACTGGTTCTAGGACAGCTGTGGAGAAATTACTTTTTTAACCTTCTGGCAGATAGGGAGCTTTTAATAAAAGATGTTATTTAATTTTAGCCACTCCTTATTCACTTAGAAGTCTTGTATGAGATTCTGGTTTTGTTTTGTTTGGATTTGGGTTTGGGTTTTTTTGGTGGGTTTTTTTGTTTTTTTTTTTTTTTGGTTTTGGTTTTGGTTTTACAGCTTGTCCAGCTTGTCCAGCTTGTTCCTGTGACATCATGTTAAATATTTTACTGAGGTTCACAGTTTATCTGATCTACATTTATATGCCGCCATTTATTTTGGTCAGAAGCACCGAGGTAATGTGCCATGGCTGGCCTTTGGCAAACCCACTTTGTGTTTATTTCATTTGCCTTCAGGTCTTTAATTATTAAATTATCTGAAGTTTGTCTGAAAGCCTTAAAAGGTGTAAAGTCAGACCAATATCCCTATTTGAAATGTGACAAAATATTGTTCCACCTATAACACAGTAGGTTGTATTCCAGTTCTCTGTCAATGCCTGAAGTTTGGACGAGATTCATAAATAGAGGTAATATCTTTTCTTAGATCAGCTAGTATAAGCTGGGAAAAAATGCATGAGGTCTGAAATAGAAGCAGCAAACTTGAAGGCTAAATATCAGCTAGGAACAATTGTTCAAAGTTTAAACAGATAAACCTCAGTGACAGCATCAGAGAGAAAAGTTAGTTCCTCTGTAGAAAGAAGAGAAGATAGTAAAGGAAAGGTAATAAAGTTCACCTTATCTTTTGCCATAAAGAGAAACAAGTTATTTATTGCTTGATGGATGTGGTTAGTTGATGGGGAGAAAGGAAGAGAGAAGGAGATTGTAATGTATCATTAAATATCTCCATTAAGTCCATAGGTTAAATGAACAGCAAAATTAATTTTTCCACTAATCATTCAGTAAGACACTCAGCACAGCACAACTACTGTTAGTAGAAGGTAGCCATGAAGTGTAACATGAGGTTGGTAAATCACTGCTCCAGGAAAAACTCTGTCTAATAGCTGATCCCTGACCCTAGGCAAATGCCCAAGCTGCTGATGATAAGTGTTAGACTCACAGTTTTTCTTCTCGGAGCTGCTCCACTTTATATAAATAATGCAGTACTCTGGACTTGAGAGACAGAGCATGCTTGTTTAATCTCCTGTATGAATCAGAGAGGGGTTTTGCACTTTCCCACATATTGGATAGATTGGCTACTAGGTATTTCAATTCATGTTTTTTCATGGCAAGGGAATTACTTGGAATTTCTTTTGAAAAATCTTGATTTCACTGCAACCCTGCTATGAAACAGATCTCAAAATCCTGCTTGTGTTCTTTTGTTCAAAACTGATCAAATTCAACATGTCTGAGAACTCACCCACAGTCTTGCTGTGTAATTCCAGTGGTGCCTGGTGGCAAAAAAGGATAAAAAACTCTAGGCAGGGAACTATTCCACTACAAGGAATGCAGAGAAATAATCAGGCAGGGAACTATCCCACTACAAGGAATGCAGAGAAATAATCAGAGCTCTTTGATCTTTGCAATTAAAGTGGCTGAGACTTGGCATGCAAGACTCAGTTTGATACTACATAGAGACCAACAGTGTAGTCTACTTCAGCCTTCTGGTAGTACAGAATCAGTTTTGTGAATATTATGTGACTGTAGAAGTTGTACAGATTTACTTTGTAGACTTGTCAGACAAATCAATATTTTGAGTAAATTATTTCAACTTTGAAAATCACAAGGATACCACTATACATTTGGAGGTTTATAGCCTAACCTGACAGTTTCACCTGTTACAAATCTACAGTGTTAACTCTTTCAGTACATCTTTGACAGTTGCTTTTGATCATTTGTAATATTTAGATCTGTTAATTGGTCTCACGTAATGCTGGCCTGCACTGACATAAGCTTTGGTATGGCTGATTATGTTTTGGATGTTGTATTGTAGTAATTCACTTTATTACCCTATCTTCATTTTATATTTTTTCACTAGCTGGTGCAGAAATCACCATTTATATGGGACTTTTTTTTTCTTTATGTGAGCAACTGCAGAATATGACTTTGAACTGTGATGTTTGTAAGAGTGTATTTTGGAGTGTTTCCTCACTGTATTACTATCAGGGCCTGGATCACAGACGTGTCAAGTCTCACCTGGAAACCACACCCCTGCCCAAACACCCTGTTTCAGCTCAGATCCAGGAATCTGGTTCCTGCCTGAGCTCTGTCAGACAAATTTCTGTCTACAGCCCTGGGCAGACCTCAGACCTACATCTTAAATTATTTAGTGACAGCATCATAGGTAGCTTGTCTCTGGATGCGTCTCCTGGATGTGCCCTAGACCTGTTTCATCCCCTCACCATTCTTGGGACTGCTGATGGATGCTGTTACCAGCACTTGATGTAGGAACCTGCTTGGAATGGCATTCTGAGATCCCACAGGAGTATGATTCCTTACTGGCCTGTGGTGGGGTTACATTCGGCTCCTGGCTCATGCCTCTACTAGGGAGCAGCCCTGCTTTTGTTTCTATCTGACCATTACTATGGATCCAGCTCCATGGGTGACAGCAATATAGGCACATCAAAGCTGGTAGAACACCATCATTAAAATCAGGAAAGAGTATGGAAGAAATGACTGACTTGCCTACAGCTGGGGTCTCACTAATCTCTGCGCAATTTTGTAAAAAATGCTAAAAAATATTAGTGTTGGCATTACTAAATTCTAACTTGTTGATGTGGAGTCTGTGCTACTAATAGCTACAGTCACTAAACCATCTGCTATGCTGAGAAACCATGAACTCATGTCCCGTGGCTGTCATCGGTGTTTGAGATGCACTTTTATGAGTGGCTCAGAACACTTTTCTTTCACCTGAATGACTGAAGGTATACCTTATCACTGTCAAGTGCATTAAAGAAGGTGGAGAGCAGCTGGACACAAAATACTCCCCTCATGGTTAGTGGATTCTGATACCGCATGTGTTCAGTTGTGTAGATACCTTCATCTAAACTAGGTACCTAAAAGTAGATTCCTAAAAGCCAAGAAAATTTCCTTTCAGTGTCAGAGTTCATGACAGGAATACATGTTGCAAATGTGAGAATATTGTAGAGAGGGAAGAGTTTGAGCCTGGGGAAGGTAGCATCTGTGGAGATTAGCTCCACTACTAATTTGATGAAAACAAGAAACTCATGATATCACAGTAGATGTAGATGAGAGTTACCCTTGTTACTGTAGTCTGACAACAATGACTCTTGTCAATCTTTTACCAGTCAAACTGTGATTGGAAAACAATAATTGCGGGGATGATCCAGAGAGTACTTGAGTAATTTTAAGTTTCTCTGCCTCAAGTTATTTCTAAGTTATTTCTAATTACACAAATGGTTTTTAGTGAATTTTACACAGATAGGCTTCTCTAGCTATGTTGATGCTGTCAATAAGATACTTGTTCGCATTACATAATCAAGCATTATCCTTTATTATGGGGAAGAGAATTAATTTGTTGCAGAT